ATTCAAACTTTTACATAATCTTCATATGAGCAAATGTATCTCTGAAAGCTTTCAAAGTTGCTTTTTTCAATCAAATCCAGTAAAATTGAATACTGGAAGGACATTCGTGTGCTGAACTCTTCTTTTGTCAGCATTTTATCAACAATATCAGAACCAAGAGAATAATAGACAAAATCCTCCACAGCAGGTTTCAGACATTGGTTGGTGAATTCTTCAGCTTTCTTCTGGCACTGATCTCTCTCATTGAACACATCTTTGAAATCTATGCAGAACTTTTCCTTGTTTTTCTGCAGACATCTCTTAAGATCATTTTCTTGTATAAAATGTTCATGCATCTTTTGAAACTTTCCAGCAGCAGATCCACAGATGTGCAGCTTCAGAGAAACCTCAAACTCAGTGTCGCTGTTGACATCATCATTGTTCAGCTTCTCATCAATGATGTGAAGGATCTCCTGGATGTAAATATCATAATAATTTGTTTTCCTTTCCATTTTCCTTAACACAAATTCACTGCAATCAGATATCATGCACTTTGCATTGTTTGTCTCTCCTTTACTATATCCTCCCAGGACCACAATCCTTTCCAAGCAACTGTGGTGTTTTTCTGTACTCCTGTAGGTGTGTATGTAAAAGGCCCCGATCCACAGTCTTTAAGTCTTTTTTTACTTAGCAGTTCACATGCATAGCTTCCTTTGGGGGAAAGATTTGTTTGCAACTGATGGTCAACACTGGCATATATATCTGAAGTGTTCTGTGTAGCAAAGGACAAGGTCTCCAATGTTTTAGTCCACATCCTATCAAAACTGTCCTTAAGTTCTCTGTCTGTCATTTCAACTTTTTTCTTTCGGCACTCATCAATTAAAGCACACACTGCTTTTTCAATTTCTTCTGTATAGCTTGTCTTAATTTTATCCAGTTCTTGCTTTCCCTGTTTGATGTCCGCTGCTACTCTGAGCTGGTTAAACACTGATCTTTCAGTTTGTCCTCTAAGACTCTTTATGCTGTTAGAGAAATCCTCTCTGTATCCTTCAACCAGGTGAACATGACCTTCTGACTGCTCAAAGTATTTCTTCAGGTTCTCAAGAATCTTTGACTCCAACTTAATCAACTCTTTGAGTGCTTCACTTTTTAACTCATTGATAAATTCCTCCATGTCAGATATGTCAGATGTTGCAGCAACTGTACCAAAATTAGAAATTCTAGTCTCTGCATTGGTAACCCAGGTGTACATTTCTTTTTTAAACTCCCACTCCCATTTGTTGTACTCTGTGCAGAGTCTCATGTATGCATCAGCTACCAGACTGTTTCTGAAGCTGAAGATGAAGTTTTCATGTTTTACTGCGTTCCACAGGCTGGTTATCCACTCTCTGAACTTCAAGATGTTATTAGAAGTTGACCCACACTTTCCCAGCAGCTGGATGATGTTTTTCTTGAACTCATAGACAGCCTCACTGTACCCTGCATTAACTGGTGCCATTGGTGGGTTTCCATTCCAGAGTCCAGGAATGTACCAATTCCCAGTGTCTGGATTGTACTCCATGACATCAGTGAAATTCTTGTTCTTCTCTTTCTTTTCCATTTTAGCTGCTGCCTGGGTCATCTCATTCAGGTGTTCTAGGAGCAGCTTTCTGTCTCGTAAGTTCTTCTCATGAGCTGAAACATCAGAAACGTTCTGGTGAACAAATTGACATCTGGGCTTTTTGCCGACTTCCTTCATCCTGAGGAAAGCATGAACCACTATCTGCAGGATGTCTTTCATTTCTGTTGAATTCTCCATTGAAATATTGATAATGGTGACATCACTCAGCCCAACAACAAGTGTTGCCAGCTCATTGTCATGTTCATGGCTGTTTTCCAGTTGAGCCAGATCAGGAGCCTTCAGTGTCGATGATCACCATAAAGTCACAGTTTAAAACATCTTTGAAGTCTTCATTGACTTTGATGAGTAGCATGAAGGCACCTCTAGTGCTTCGACCACTGCTGACTGCAAACTGCACTCCAAACATGGTGTTCAGGAGGGTGGATTTTCCTGTGCTCTGAACTCCAAGAACTGTGACGACCACTATCTTGTTCTTAGGAGACACCAAGTCATTGAGCTGATAGAGAACATCACTCACCCATCTGAGAGGTATGTTGGAAGAATCTCCATCTACAAGCTCAATAGGAAATCCATCCAGCAACAACTGAGCACAAAGTTTAAGCAGATGTTGCAGTTGTTGGCGTGATGGGTTATTTTCAGGAAGGTAAAGAGAAGCTTCGTAGATCTGACCCATTTCACGGAAGAAGTGTTCAACTCCCAGTGAGCTATTGGACAGTTGTTGGTCAATTTCTTTGATCTCCTTTTTGTTCTCAGAGTCCTTGGATTTGTCCTTGTAAAGAGCCCGAAGGCCAGAAAGTTTTAATCGAGACAAGTCATCAAGGTTCATTCTCATCCATTTCAGAAAATAACCCCTCTCTCTCTCTGGGCTGGATATTACAGTAATGAAGCGTGTTATTGCATCTGACATAGCATAGGAGTTCTGTTTCTGA